CATCAGAAAGAGTTCTTAGTTACCATTCGATAAAAAATAAATAAATAAATAAATAAAAATAGTTACATTCAATAAAAAATAAATAAATAAAAGAAAAAGTGAGTTCTATAATGCCTAGAGATTCCTGTATATAGAGTAAGTGAAACCGCTCTTTTTCCTTACAGGCTCAAATGGACCACAGTCATTTACCGTTGAACAGTGGGGTAGCCCTGAAAAGCTGCCGAGAGCTCATACCTGGTAAGCAGCTGTGTAGACCCTGATACAACAAGCCTCAGAAAGCAAAATTCCTGTTAGTCTAGCTGCAGCAAGCCTAGGCCGCTCTGTGCTGCAAAAGTGGCAGCTACAGATAAGGATCGGTGACACTAACCTAGGAACAGGTATTTCTTTAAGCAAGTCAGTCTGGATTTGAAGTCCCGGTAGCTGAAGATCAGAGGGTCATCTAAACCAGGGTCCTCAAACTTTTTAAACAGGGGGCCAGTTCACTGTCCCTCAGACCATCGGAGGGCCAGACTGCAGGCCCCAGGATGAGTCGGCTGCTAAGCAGGACAGGCAGCGGTGGCAAAACCACCTGGCGGGCTGGATAAATGTCCTAGGTGGGCTGCATGTGGCCCACAGGCTGTAGTTTGAGGACACCTGATCTAAACTGTTGACCATATGTTGCCTCTAAGGCCATCCCAAGAGAGACTAGAACATTACATGTGGGAGGCTGAGATGGCAAAGGAACCCAGATGTGTGGAGGTGGAGGTGGGGATGTGAGGACCCAGCAAGGAGTCATGGGAGAGCCCGTGCCTAGAGGCTACTCCCCTGTCTTCGTCCCCTGGTGTAAACGTGGCTGGTAGTGCTGCTGGATATACTCATCACAGAGAGCAGCACTGCCGTGTTTGCTGGAGGGATACTTTGTCAACGTCTTTCATAACCCGTTCCTCTCTGTTCTTTCAGCTTTAATCGCTTGGACTTGCCACCCTATGAGTCATTTGAAGAATTATGGGATAAACTTCAGATGGCAATTGAAAACACTCAGGGTTTTGATGGAGTTGATTAGAGTACAAATAACAATCTATGGTGTTTTTACTGCTGCAGTTTTATAAGCAAAATCTTGGCTTAAAATTTTCCAGGGAACTACTAAAACTTGGCCACTGATTCTTCCAAAATATTGGAGATCATATAAAAGCATTGAAAGAAACCGTATGACAGGTTTTCCATGATCTCCATCACTTTTAAATCACGTGTGGCATTTATGTAATTGTTTCATTATATCTTTGGAGTTCACAATATGGGCTCTAAGTCCTGTGTGCCTGAAATAGTGAGTTTTATCTTTGACATTTACCTCTCGTATAGTATTTACGAGTATAGGCAGTTCTTTCTTAAACTACTGAAGTTATAACTGTGAAGTATTTGTGATAAGTGTCATGTGTGAAAAGTTTGATGCTTTTTGAGAAGGAAAACTGAAATTTGGAGGAAAAAACTTTAATATTGAGTAACTACACTATATTTTAGCGCTACTTGCCAGCTAGTTATTATGTTGTAGGCCTGCCTAAAGCACCTTACTGCCCAGATATCTAGAAGAACCATGGAAAATGGGTTATCTATATTTTTAGTCAACTGATGCACTTGCAAAAAAAACTGTTTACTTTTTCACTTTTAAAGTATTTGGCATTTGTGAATATGCAGTTTTATTAAACATGTGGTTCATAAGACATGTGAAGCAAATTCATATATACAATGGGTATAAGTATTAAAGCCTTTCTCTTGCCCATATATCCTTACAGTTCATTGGTGTAGTCATCACTTTTTCATGTTTAGTGTAGTTAGAAGAATTTCTTCTTCAAACATTCAACTAAAGCTCCACAAAGCAGTATTTCTAAATTATGCCTTGAAGAACTGAGTTAAATGTATAGCACTTGCCTTTACCGGTCATTCTTTATACTTGTACAATTATGTAGTAAATACATGTTTACGTGTTTATTATGTTTACAGATTAAGCTAATTTCTGTAGTTGTATTTTTATATTTTTAGTATCACTTTAGTTTAAAGAAAAAACCAAATAATTTGTTTAAAATAACCAAAGAGTAGTTAGAATGCATAGTTTGTATTAAATTACCATATTTCTTATGCTTTTAAAAAAAGTATTGTTTACTCTGAAAATGTTATTACATTTCCAAAACTCTTTAGGCCAAATGCTACAGGTAGAATCCTACTTTAACCAAATTGAAGTGTATGAAGACCACAGGCATGCATTCAACTAACATTTACTGAATGCCTGCTATATGCATAGCACTGTGCTCTGCCCTAGGGTAAAAGTTGTGTCAGCTTCAAAGGAATCTAGCTCAATCTTTAGCCCCAAGGAACTTATAAAGTGTAAATGAATTTGTAAACAATCAAAAACAGGGGTAAGCAGAATAAGGCAAAAGGAAAAATATGTTCTAGGTTGCACTATACTTGCAAAGATAAAGTGTGCCAAGACTCTGTTTGATACCTATATTGGAATGATCTATAGCAAATGCTCTTACAAAAAAATCAACATAGTATGTTGGTATTTAGAAATAATTGTAAATATATATTATGAAAGTTCTTACATACATATATGCTTATATACACTCTGAGAGAATTGTAAAAAGTATTTCCGGTTCTTGGCTTAAGTTTGTTGGGGTATAAATAAATGAGTTCCCGTCAGCATCAGGTGGAGCTCTCAAATGTGACAGCAGCAAAACCACTTTCTAAACATCATCAGCTTGGTTTATGGAAAGCCGCTCCCAGATCACAGCACCTTGCATTTTATCTTCACCAACGTCAACCAGCACTCAGGCATGAGCACCAGATGTCCTCCTGGTTTTATCACTTACCTGTGTGAACTGAAGCAACCTGCTTAACCTCTTCGGACTTATTTTTCTTTATCTTTCAAATAATAATCCTGCCCACCTTCTTTGTCATATCAGATTGTCCTAAGTTCCAGTAAGATGAGAAATCAGAAAATGCTTTGTGAAGTATTATGCAATCAGAAGATGCTTAGGGCCCACTATCACATTTTGTCAAATCAGGTGTATAAACTGACTACACTCCCAAAGAACAATCTCTTTAAGAATAAAGAGATTTCTAATAGAAAGCAGAAATGTATCTGACATTGACTACATAGAGATATATACATATTCGTGTTTACACGTGGATTTCACCATCAGAATTCATTTTCTCTACATCAGCAAAGTAATGTTAAGATGGGCTAATGAATTTTGGAAGTGTCTTCATTATGTAGAACTGAATGTGAAAACTGTTTTTGTTAAAACGAGATTTTACCACAAGTATTTAAATATCACTTCTGTGAAATTTCATGGCAAATACAGAAGCCCAAGAAAATATAAAGCTTTCTTTTAATGGGACAATTAATGGAATGATCCTATGACTCAGATAAAACAGATGTTAATGAAACCGGACTCACTCCCACCAGTCCTCAGCCATAGACCTTCATCCCCTTGGTCTCCCAGGTATGGGCTGACAGTCCAGAAGAAACCTCTATCAAGAAACACAGCCCCTCATCCTACACAGAAATGTATTTCCAATATGTTCTACTGCTGGAGAGTCGGCAGAGTCATTTTCATAAGACAGGTATATCATACTTTTCTAAAAATTATAAGCACATAATTTAAGCCTATTTTTTCTATATAAATTTTTTTGACAAAATTATATTGCAAATGTGCTTCATCATAACTCAAATGGCATTTGTTTTAGTCTTTATATTGTTGAAGTTATTCCATATAACTATGTTAAATATAACTCGTTTTGATTATAAACTATTGGACATGGTTTTCCATAATCTTCTGATATGGTAAATATATATCCACATTAATGTATCAAAATTTATTGCATACCTTTAAGTATAAAATGATTTTATAAAATCTTGACTCCACAAATAAAGTTCTATTCTAATTTAAAAAGCAAAATTGTGATTCGTTTTTAAACAGAAATGATGCTGGGTGATATCTTCTGATCTAGTCCTTTGCAGCAGCACATGAAATTCTCAAGACAATCTTTATTTATTTTGTTTTTTGGCAGAGATGGGGTTTGTATTGCCCAGGCTGGTCTCAAACTCCTGGCCTGAAGTGATCCTCCCACCTCAGCCTCCCAAAGGGCTTGGATTACAGACATGAGCCACCATGCCCAGCTCTCAAAACAATCCTTATATCTGGTAAACTAACATCATTATAAACTCTTAGACAATCAATCTCCACTTTACAAAAAGGTAATATTACAAACCCCTGGTTGTTAGTGAAATATCCAGAAGAAGAAAAAATAAAGCTACAAATGGACTAGATTTCAGACACACCTGTGCTGTCATGGAAGAGCCAGTCTTATAAATGTTGATAACACTTGTTTCTACAAGAAAGGAGTTCTGAGTCCTAATTCAGAACTAAGTACCCTTTCCTCCTTCTTAGGCACGGAGAAGTTTCCCAGTTAGAAAGGAATCCATGCCCAGCCCCTCAAGCCAACCCAGGAACCAGCTGTTCCAGCTCTGTGTCTCCTCCAGTCTGACCACAGCTTTTACTCTCTGGGGCTCAGGCCACTGCCCTCTGCTTCCACCCTTCCCATTCTAACCAGCTCGGGCAGTAGCCAGGCGGGACCATGCCTCACTAGTACAAAATTTCCTGCTTTGTTGTGCACCATGGCAGACATTTGTAAGTGATATTAAACTAAAGTGTTAGAATCTCAAAACATCTCCATGAAGAAAGGATCTTAGGAGATTTCTGTGTATTGCCCTTGAGAGTTAAAGACTGTCCCTTTGCTAGCCTCCTGCTTCTATTCTATGCCAGTCTCTTCCCCTGCCATCCATCCTGTGCAATCCCTCCATCACCAACACTGTTTCTTTTTTATTATAGTAGATTTGACCAGGTTACTCTACTGCCAGAAAACCCCTGGGGGCTCCCCAGAGCATGAACCCCAAACCCATCAGCATGGAATGCAGTCCTCAGCCTGTCTCAGCTCCTCCTCCCATCCTACCTCACTCAGATGCCTTCCAGCCCCCAGCACTGCAAATGCCCCTGCACCTGGAGTGCTTGCGCCTCTCCTTTCTACTTGTTAAACCACTTCTTTTTTTGGATGCAGTGGAAAGGCACTGTGGACTCAGCATTTGGTATATACGAGCACAGGTGACACTGTACTCCAATTGTTTGCTTACATAATTCTATCCTACAAATATCTGGGCAGACTACTTTGTATACCTCTTCATATGTTCATTTCCCAACACAAATCTTTGATGAATGTGAACTTGATCTGATAAATACCGTTTATAGAATCCAGCACACATACTGGGCATCTACAATGTACCGGGAACCATGCGGTAATATACAGGAAGCTCTATATTTAGGAAGACCATATGGGGGCTATATAAATATTCCTGCAGAGAGCAGCTTGATGGAGATCCTGCCAAGTGCTGGCTTCTGCAGTAAACACATCTTGTGGATCCCATTTAATCTTCATAAAAACTCACTGAGGCAGGTTTTACAGGCTCGAGAACAAGTAACACACCTGAGGCAACTCAGCTTATAAACTTAGTGAATTTATTATCCAAAACAGAGAAGAAAAGCTATAGAATCCAACAAATTACCCAGGTGTGTTAGATTTTAAGACAGAGTTCCACTCTGTGACGCCAGGCTAGAATGGAGTGGCATCAGCCTGACTCAAAACCTCAAACTCCTGGGTTCAAGCAATCCTCTTGCCTCAGCCTCCTGAGTATCTGGGACTACAGGCATCTACAACACAGGTTAGTTTTTCTATTTTTAGTAGAGACAGGGTCTCACTGTCACTTAGCCTGGTCTTAATCTCCTGAGCTCAAGCAATTCACCCACCTCAGCCTTCAAGAGTGCTAGGATTACACTGCCCCCCACCTCGCCTGCTAGTTTTCTTTTACTACACAACAAATTGCCACAAACTTAGCTAAAATAGGGCTTGGCACCTATAGCTCAGTGGCCAGAGCACTGGCCACATACACGGGGCTGGTGGGTTGGAATCCGGACCTGCCAAACAATAATGACAACCTCAACAAAAAAATAGCCAGGCGTGGTAGTGGGCGCCTGTAGTCCCAGCTACTTGGGAGGCTGAGGCAAGAGAATCATTTAAGCCCGAGGGTTTGAAGTTGTTGTGAACTGTGATGCCACGGCATTCTACCCAGGGCAACATAGTAAGACTCTGTCTCAAAAAAAAAAAAAAAAAAAAAAAAAACTTACCTTACATAATATCCATTTATTACCTCCATGTGGTCAGAGTCCGCATGGTTGCAGCTGGGTTTTCCGCGTAGTGTCTTACAAGGCCAAAATCAAGGTATCTGGGATCTTACCTGCTTCCGAGATCCTTCACATTACTGTCAGAATCCAGATCCTAGTAGGTGTCCGTCTGAAGTCCTGTTTCCCTGCTGAATGACAGCCGGGGGCACCCACTTTAGACATCAGCCACATTCCTCAGCATGTGA